TCACTCATACTGGTACTGACGTGGTACAAAGCATTTACCAATGATGGGCTCCAAAGCTTTGGGCAACCACTCAGCAGCATCACCTTTGAAAGCCCAACCATCAATCCCTTCTTCATCCATATCATCCATATCAGCCGAAATGTCGGTATTAAAGACTGCGACTTTACCACCTGATCGGGCCACCCGTTCAACGTAACCTGCAGCAGGCCAAACTGAGCAGGATGTACCAACAACAAGAATCAGATCTACTTTGGCCTCCATCAAAAATTTATCGGCCATGGTAACTTCGCGGAACGGCAGCGGTTCTCCAAACCACACAACGCCAGGTCTTAGTAAACCAACTTTACAAGATGGACAATGAGGTAGTTCCGATTCAGGAATTTCTTTGATATATTTTGTATCTTGTTGTTGATCCATTAGGGCACTATCTTGCCCACTATGACCATAAGAGCTACTGCCATGATGGAAATGACGTTTCTTATCCACATGAGATTGACTATTTCCAAACCGCGGGTTTGATCTCCGCTGGGAAACACCCGTACTAGCAGAACCACCCACCATGAGAGAAGAATCAGAAAGTCCCTCATCATTATCATTATCGTTATCATTTTCTGACGCTGAAGTTGCGGAAGTGGCTGAGGTCATAGACATCATCGTACGAGTATAAGTTGGAAAACGAGTTTCTGACTCGGAAAGAGCCGGGACAATTGGATCATTATAACTAGTTCCCACATAAGAACACATGAATTCGGTACACTTCACAGTGAACAGATCGCCATGGAGATTCAATAGTTTACCTGGAGGATGACCAGCACGCTGAGATAACCCGTCCACATTTTGGGTTAGTGTGAGAAAATTATCTTTACGATTGGCCAATTCAGCGAGAGCAAAATGCCCTTTATTAGGCCGAGCTTTTAGCGAGGTATGTCTACGATAAGAGTAAAACTGCCATACTAACGACGGATCTCGATGAAATGCATCGGGGGTTGCGAGATCGATGGCATCGTGTGATCGCCATAATCCACCTTTTCCCCGAAACGTTGTTAGCCCTGATGAGGCCGATAAACCAGAACCCACTAATTTATATCGTTAAAATTAGTTTCTGCAGAAATTAAATAAGAAAAAACGGTTTTCAATTGGAAAAACTTACCAAGAGCTAGTATACGAGGGGAGTTGATTAGATGCTGTTGGAATGATTCCAGGTCAGTGGATAAGACCATAATGACTTTCGGGGAAATTTCCTAGGAATATAAATATATTACTATGAAACTGCAAAAGCCTGCTAATCAGAAATATGATATCTTGAGCGTATTAGAGAACCAATTAGCAGTTTGTATTCGTTCGAAATCTTATCGCCAATATAAATAAGAATAAATTGTTGTTTTATACATAATGATATCACCTTTGGTAGTTAGTCATGTGATCCTCAATCCTCCGCCCTCATAAGACGTTACCCGGAAAAAATCCAATCTTCAGTATTCCAAGGGGGTTCCCACTTCGAGGCGCGTATAGTCTTCAACTAAGAATAGGCCTAACTGCGCGTTAACCTTTCGAAAGATTAAAAGAAATAATATATATACATTAATATTTTCATATGTCGGGACAGTTTGACGAACATCAAAATTCTAAATATTTGGACTCGCCTGCTCCCCCTCAACCGTTCGACCAAACATCAACTATGGTGCAACAGGAACAGAATCCTGAACCCCAGCTATCCGGAACATACGCGCCAACAATTAACCATTCATCTGAACAAGAATTGGAATTCAATAATATGCTAGACTCAAAAGATATGCAACAGTCTGTACATCAACTGCCATCACAAGATATACATGCCAGACAACAGCCCAGAGAAGATGACCAAGATGCAGGTCGAAATTCAGAACAGGACAAATCGGTAACGGCTGAACCTATTGAAAATGCTAGCTCGGCTTCTGCTTATAAGCCAACCCCTAAGTACCAATCTCAAGCTGCTAGAAAAGCTCTTATTGCTGGCGAAGGCAAGAAAATATTAGACGCAATTTATGCATTACGTGATGAAGAGGGCCGTGATGTTTCAGCAGTTTTCCAAACACTACCTTTAAGAAGTTTAACTTCTTATTACAAAGTGATTTCTCGCCCTATTTCTCTGCATAAGGTCAAGACAAATCTAGCAAATCAGCGTTATTCTCTAATTGGGGCTTTCATCCGTGATTTGGCCCAAATCACTTATAATGCCCGTTTATTCAACCGAAAGGATTCTTTAATTTATGAGGATGCATTAACACTCGATAAGTTTATTCATGAGAGTTTAGAGACTCTCAAAAACACTGGAAAGTTTAATGATAGTGAATTGGTATATCCCGAGATAGGCCCTTTACCAGATGGATCTGATGCAGAAGGGGATGATGGGGAACAGGAAGAAGAGGACGAAGAAGAAGAGGACGAAGACGATGATGAAGACGCTGACGATGGTGAAGACGCTGATGATGCTGAAGAAGAGGACGAGGAAGAAGAAGAGGAAGAAGAAGATTATGGCCGAAGCAAGTCCAGCTCTTATAAGGTTAACCTAGCCCAGCAAGCCAGTGACCGTAGAAAGCGCGGTAGGCCGCCTACTGTCGACAGACCTCATGAGCATCGAATCAAGGCTATATTTCGTGGGGTGCGTAAAGATAAAGAACAACGCACTGGCCGTTTAATAGCAGCTGCCTTCGATAGATTACTTGATCCTAAGGCGTACCCCGACTATTATAATGTCATTCCTAATCCTATTGCCCTTGATGTCATCAGGAAAAACATTAAGAGAAGAAAGTACACTAATGTTGAAATGTTTTTGGATGATATGAATCTGATGTTCAACAATGCGAAACATTACAATGCTGAAGGTTCCACTATTTTTAATGACGCTGTTAGACTACAAGAACTCATGATGTTTTTAGCTGAAGAAGAGCTTAAAAAACCGGATAGCGTTTATCAGGACCCTGATTCCAACTCCAAAAATATGCGCCTGCCGCTTGATCATGTTGAGCACCGTGGCGAAATTTATAAGGTTGGAGATTGGGTTCATATTAGTAACCTAAACGATCCCTCTAAACCTACTGTGGGCCAGATTTTCAGAATTTGGCAGGCTCATGACGGACAAAAATGGATTAATGCCTGTTGGTACTACCGTCCGGAACAAACTGTTCATCGTTATGATAAAGTTTTCTTGGAGAATGAAGTTGTCAAATCTGGTCAGTATAGAGACCATTTGGTTGATGAAATTTTGGAAAAGTGTTTTGTAATGTTTTTTACCAAATATCAGCGTGGTAGACCCCATGGGATTGGAAATGTTCAAGTTTATTGTTGTGAAAATCGTTACAATGAGATCGAAAAAACATTCAACAAAATTAGAACATGGAAAGCTTGTATTCCCGATGAAGTTAGAAGTAGCGACTATCCAATGGATTTGTTTGCTGGAGTCAATCCTCTTCGTAAGGTCCCATCTCCTATCAGGCACCTACTACCAGCTGATGCCAGAGATGATGATCCTATACCTGAACCTCAATTAGGTGTTGATAATGCACCACCGGCGATTGGCGCTGTTTATAAAAGACCTTATGATCCTCAAGATCCTCCAGAACAACCCACTCCCGATGATGCAGTTGAGCCTCAACCTCAATTTGCTGAACGTAATACTTATCTCGGAAGCAATACCCCTCAAAACACATACCCAAACAATAATGCCTCACAGAACTTTTCAATGAACATTAATAATACGTCAAACCTGATAAATGGTGGGTTTTCACCTTCACATACTCCTGTGATAAATTCGCCGTCTTACATGTCAGGTTCTAGTACACCGGTCTATAATAGCAATCCCTCCATGGGTTATATGGCTACCAACAATACCGCAAGACTCAGTACGACCTCCTTCAGTCCTGTTTCACAACAACACACGCGGCAACAACCCTTAATCCCAGTAACGCCTTATATGCTCCCTCCCTCATCCAATTCTGCACCTACCCGTGGCCCTGGTAGACCTGCTATTGCTTCACAACAGCCTTACATACCGATCCCGATTTTGAATACAGGACTAGCTCCCCCAGTGCCAATTAATGTGACGGCAGTCGGTAATTATGGTTCTCGTACCATATTTTCACCATACGGTCCCTCCTCAACATTTACTTTACCAGAGGGTACCCAGTCAATTTTAACTCCTTCTGTGGCCACCGAATCACAAATTATTGATGGCCCAGATGGCCAAATCGTCATCCCTGGTATTCCTACTACACCCTATCAAAACTGGTTTTCTTCCCCCCCGGCTTACATTCCCTCGAGAAGAATCCCTATTATGGATCCTGAATTGAACGGTAAAGTCAAATTTCTTGTCAATGAGAAAGCGGACTCATTTAACGAGCAAGGAAATGGAACTAAAGTTCGTGTTATGATGGTAGGCCATTCGGCAAAATATCTTGCATGGAAGTTGAAGAAAAATGGAGACAAACAAAGGGTCATGTAGGATTCTGAGAGCTCGCCCAAGCTTTATCTTTTTTTATCATTATATGACATTGTATATTGCTATTTCTGTATTAATACTATATTTTTTTAGTTAAATGAACTTATTTGAAATAAAGAGCTACTCTATTTCTGGCTGAATTTTATTACTTGTTTTCGGATAGTAGCTAAAATGAACACTTACAATTCAGTATTGAAAGTCTTTGCATAACTTGTATATAAACCATTATATTTAGATAACTGTATAAAACCTATCTTAAGGGGTATTAAATTGAAATTCCTATCACTAATAGGTGTTTATTCTAATCACCGCAAAACACCACCAAGTCGAAATTAAATTTCTATTTTTTCCAGACATATAAATTTAATGAACACATTTCTGAATTTGCCTAAAATAACAACATCCTAAACAAAAAACATTTATGGTTTTGAGTAGCTGTTAAAATCATCTATCACCTCAACAGAAAAAGAAAAAAGAAAGATTTACAATAGTATCTCAATATCTTGAGATAATAGAAAAATAATGCGATTTGTGTGTATCGAACACAGGATCTTCAGATTTACTGAGACTAAAGTTGAAACTTCGGTCTGACGCTCTCCCAACTGAGCTAAAACCGCAATTTGTGCCGTTGCCCAGAATCGAACTGAGGTTTCATCGGCCACAACGATGTGTACTAACCACTATACGACAGCGGCTTTTTTGTTTACCGGCCAAAGTTTTGAAACACACAGTTGTTACTTATTTTGAGAGGCCTCCTAATTTCAATCTCAATGAATACGGTGAAAAAAAGCTGTTACTAAAAATTTATTACAAAAAAAATAAACGATAAGGAAAACTAAAAGGAACTCTTGGGTCAGGGTCATATTACACTTATTTTTAACTAAACCGAGAAATAGGTGCAGTTTAGTCATTAGTGCACTTTCATAGTCTCAGAAATGTATTTGTGAAAACCACCCTCTTCTTTTCTAGGCTTTAATTTCTTCAAAAGGAATTCATTTAGGTTTATTCATAGATATACCCCTAGTGGTATTACTTAAAAAGGTTTATCACTCTTGGATTCTCTTCCTGGAAGTTACCAGACAAAAAAGGTTAATAGTTACGTTTCCTACCGTTCTTCTATCAGTGCTGATATATTTATTCTGAAAAACGGGTTCTATCTACGTTTTATATTGAAAAATTTGATATGTATTTGCCCGTGTCAATCTAAAATTCACTAAAGCCTGTGAACTAAAAAAAATGCTCACGGTAATTGGTTCTAAGGAAAAATATATGCTATTTGTTAGAAACAATAGTAATATAATAATGCTCTTTTGAAAATCTATCCTAAGAAAACTCTTCTGTCTTAATTTTGTCTTCTAAATCAAATTCCTGCGACTCTATGTGCTCACGATCAGCCAAAACAATGGGATCAGACTCTCTGGATAACTCATCTTCAAAGGCCATCCTGTCGAGGACAATAAATTCATCAAGTTTTGGAGGAAGGGAAATTCTGTGAACATCATCCCATGCTTCAGATGAGGTATAAACAACTGAAACCTCTTGAGCCGAATACTCGACTGATCCTATAGTTACTATTTCAATAACCTTTTCAATCGTTACCTTCTCCACAACGCAGGAAGTACCCGGAGCAGCATTATAATGAAACTTGTACCACTCAATTTTATCATCATCAATAAGCTGGCTCTTCTTAGTTCTAATATAAAACTCTGTTGGACTAAGTATCACGCCTGAGAGAATATAATCTCTGAGCTTTACTGTATCCCCTGAACTAGCCTCGCATTTGAGTTCACCTCGCTCATTTAAAAGAATAATTTGTTCCAGCTCTTGCTCAAGATGCATTATGGTTTCCGTAATATCTAGTAAATATGTTAGTCAGCTGTATAATTTTAAATATTCAAGACGAAGAAAAAAGAACATACCCCTAATCTTAGAATCCCATTTGTTACGTATCAAAATCAATTCGTCCATCGTCTCAGATAATGGATCATCCTTCTCTATCTCGTTCAATTCAATAAGCTCGTTATCTTTCGACCTTGTTTTCATCTCCTTAAAGTAATCAACGCTGACATCTAAAAACTTAACGACGCTTTTTCCTTGATAATTCAATAGTTTGTATTTTTTGTTCCTCAAAATAGCGAGCTGATTTTCAACTTCAGATTGTCTTTCCATCATCCACTTAACAGAAGGAATAGAATCCTTCTTATACCTGTCAGGTCGCCAAAATTCTGGTATAGCAAATCCGGTACCGCTTTGCTCATCCCCCCTTTTGAAAGTGAGTGTTAAAATATCAGGTACTTTTACAAACCAGTTCTCATAAATACCATCAGGCCAAATCATCTCATCAATGATCTGATATAAAGATCTGGGCGAGTTTGAGGGCACTTCAACCGAAAGATTACAGAGTGGTATCTCATTTTCACTATCGTGAGATATTACGGTTGCTCTAAAGACATTGGAAAGGTCATTATTTTCACCCCAGTACTTGGTTAAGCTTTTAAGAAAAAGACCGATGGTATTATCGTTTGAGCGCACCTGGCCATTAAATATGGACTTATAATCAGATGGTATATCCAGAAGAAGGTTATCCAAAGTGGCAAAAGAGCGCTTTGAACCCCCATCAAGAAAAGCCATTAGCCTTTGGCATTCAACTATAAGTCTTTTCGACATGCTAGCGTTCGATTCATCGTCGCTGCCGCTATCACTACCGTTATCATCGAGTTGATCCGACATATCTATCAATGCACCCGCCCACCATGATTCATCGTAACCAAAGTCATTGACAATTTCAGTACCAAAGTTCAATAAAGCTTTCCTGGAGAGAGGAATAAAATGTAATATCATAATTAGAGGGGCCAAATCGATTGCAGCAGAATGAGGAATTATCATTGCAGATCTATCTGCGTCTCGGGCCCGATCCGACGGTAATATTTCAGTCAAAATCTCAAAGTTATCATGAATTCTGTATATCTGCCCACTTGGAAGTCTTGAATTATAATAACTCGGAGCAGCTGGGCCATATTCCATGACGCCACTTTCTTGAGGGCCAGGACCAACACTCTGAAAACCAGAGTGATCTTTCCAAGCTTGCACAGACTGGCTGTTTTTATCCTGGTAACGCGGAGCTTCAAAAGTAGACGTACTGCTATCTACCGATTCGCAGGGTCCTATTTTGTAATAAGCGAAAAACTTGCGTGTTAGAAATATCCAATGGTATCACCACAAAGAGTGAATACTTGAGAATCATACCTTGTAAAATAGTAGAGCTTGAAGAAGGTTCATTGAACAAATACGCAATTGCATTAGTTATGTCATCGTTACCGTGCTAGAATATATCCTAATGTTAATCAATTGAAATCATCAAGTATCATTATAATAGGTTAAATCACAGAAAACAAACCTTTAAGCCCTCTAGAGCTTGCTCCCGAGTAAAACCCATCTCTAGAATACTGACGATGGATGACTCCCTAACAGCATTGATAATTTGGTCAGACTCCATTTATAATTATTTTGTAATTACTGATTGCAAATCGTTATTTGATAGAATATTTTTCAAAGTTAGACTAGGAGCTTCAATAATGGGGAGATTTAGAACCCCCAACCTTGAGGCTCGCTGAATGCACTGTAAGCAAGTGCCTGCGTGCCTTGGAGTCTAGGATAAACCCGTTCATCTGCTTAGTTTCTAATGTGTAGGCTATGAGGGGGGGGGGCAGATAGAGCTATTTTGGATACCCATAAAAATAGCCGATAAAAAGTTGCTTGTTAATAATTAAAACTAAATAATAAACTATTTTAAATAACTAAAAACACCTTGGCACACGCAACATCCAAAACTTTATTGAACATGAAGAAATGAATGACTGCACAAATCCTTAGCAGTTGGACGTTTAGTGTAATCTAATTCGAATGTTCTCAATAGAAAATCCCTAGCATCTGCTGTACAGGATTCAGGAATTGCCGGGGATATTGAACTACCAATTTTAAAAATCGCTTGCATTTGATTAAACTCAGGAAACGGATGAGTACCGGTAAACATCTCAATTATAAGACAACCTAGAGACCAAATATCAGCTTTTAATGTGTATGCAGTTTGTTTCACAACTTCTGGCGCCATCCAAAAGACCGAGCCTTGCAAAGAAGCACGGTTCTTACTGGTCCCCGTTAGTATTGTTGCTTCTATCTTTTTGGAAATCCCAAAATCTGAAATTTTGATACCGCCCTTGTTATCAACTAAAACATTTGCACCTTTGATATCTCGATGTATGATATGACGCCCGTGTAAATACTCCAGCCCCTGTAGAATCTGCCTAACAAAGTTTTTGATTAGTGGTTCTTCAAAAGAACCATAACTCGATAGCATTGAAGAAACTGAGCCACCTGGGACATATTCAAGATAAATATTCAAATGTTCACCATCGGCATTTGAACCCAAGTATTGCACAATATTATTATGATGCAGTTCTCGCAACAAATTTGTCTCTCTTTGTAGAGCTTCAATCATACTTTGTTTCTTTTGATCAATTTCGGCTCCTGAAGGAAGCTCAACTTGCTTTACCGCCATAAGTTCACCAGTAAGAGCATTCATACCTAGATATACGGTACCAAAACTACCTGAACCAATAAGAGCACCTTTAATCCATTTCGAAGGGCATTCTTTATCCTCCAAAAGCTCTTCCAAGTAATCTTCTTCAGTTATTTCATCACCACATTCCCCTATAGTAAACGGAGGCTCAATAGCTGAATCTTCGGTATACATTTTCGAAACTCGGTTTGAAATCGCTGAAATACGGTTATCACCCTCTTGTGATATTTCGGATCTTTCCATTGAGATTTTTCCACCATTTGGCACATGGAACGTGGCCTCATCTGAGATACTGTCAAGAAACAAGCTATCCTTTATATGACTTGATGCTAATGGCTCCTCAAGTCCAGGCGTTTCGGTAGGTGGAAGCGGAAGAGGAGATTCACGGTAGTGCTTAGTAGTAATTTCTGGGGGTATCAATTGAGGTACCGAAGGTAAACTTGACTCCTTTTTCCCGGGTTTTATAAAAGTTGATATTGTAGCCACAGACATTCGATGACTCTCTGGATATCTCGACATACGATTTGAAAACCTAATAGAGTTCCTAATAGTTTGTTGAAGAACCTTTCGTTCAGCTCCAGGAAAATATTCCTGGAGATTATGCGAAATTAACTCACTGGGGGGTCTTAGTCCTTCATAATAACTATCTACATTTCTTATCGGATTGTTCGTAGAATTGTCAAATGAGGTATACAATGAATAACTGCTACCATGATAAGAGTTCATGTCATTATTTGAAACAGAATCAAGAAGCATCTGCTGGGATTTTGCAAATTGTTTGGTTGTAGGCGTACTATTAGCCGGACAAATCATCAGTCTTGTCCTCTCACTTCTTTCAAAAGAGTGACATATTGTGACGAGTTCGGAATCAGAAACTCTCCTGGTTGTAGTTCCAAATTCACTATCAGAGATGAACACTGTCCAATTTGAGGGATTGTCTTTCATTGGGATTTTTTTGAGAGCCTTTTTCTTAATGAGTTCTGCATTAAAGCACCCGGCAATATTAACCATTTTTGATTGACCATCAACGTAAATGAA